AAAAAAAAAAAAAAAAAAAAAAGAAAAAAAGTAAATCCTCGCGAGGAAACTCGAACGGCTATTGTTTCCTCCGGTCGAGACTCGAGATTTAACTTTCGCTAAATGAGAGACGCGGCAGTTTCGACGATAATAAAAATAACAGCTCGAGTCGTTACATTGAAGAGGAACGGTACCGAATGGGACTCGAACATTCTCTCCGACAGTCGAGCGTATCGCGATGTTGAAACAAACGCGACGTTGAATTATTAATAGAGGTACAAGTTTGTCGTGAGAAATTCTCCGCGGAAGTTGGCTGCCATTAGCTCGGCCGGAGCGGAACCGTTAAGTCCGTATCGTTGTTCGACACTGATACGAAACGAAATTGAACAGTCGAGCCTGCCAGTGGATAGTGGTAATTAGGAAAACTCGCCTCTCTCGTAATTTGCCTTTTCCTTCGAGAACTTTCAGCCAGCTTTGTTTACTCTGCCCGGTACTCGCCGGTACTCGATTAATCGAGCACCTCATTCTCTACTACCGTAACTCTGCTTGCAACTGCAGCTTCAACTTTCGATTTCGGCTTCAGTGTCGTTGCACCGCGTCCACTTGTACTTATTGCAAGGTAAATTAACGCAAAGTGTAAAGTGAAATCAAATATTTTCTTTATTTCGAAGCGTGATAATTTTTAAAACAACTTGCAAGATCATAAATTCGTAATTTCCCGTCAGAGAGATTCTTCAAATCTGACATTGACTTTTTCTTTCTCAGATGTTCTATTAAACTGTTTGTTAAAATGTTTAATCTCGATTTAAAAATAAATCATTTTATGGTTAATACATTCATTCTATAATTAATGTTGACAATGTTGTAATTAAAAGTAACAGAAACTAAATTACACATATAATAATAATTTAAATATTATTGGAATTAACATAGTGATCTTACAAAAGATTATTGGAATTATCTATTAAATAATCTAATTAAAAAAAAAAGTGATATTGAAAATGGTAATATGAATACTTGTTATATGGAAATGTCGTGTAAAATGTACGAATATTTTATCTAAACACCAGAAGAGAAGCCACCATTTAACGATTGTTGTTATAACAACAATAAACACAGAGTTTTACAGCAAATTTGCATCGTGACATACGAGTTCAAAAAGTTAAACGAGTCTGAACGATAGATGAGATATTTAGTGGAATTCATCGAAGGTAAACAGGCTCGTCTGCTCTGCTTAGGTAGAAAAATGAGAGCAGCGAGTAATTTGACGGCGAGTTGCGCGAACTTTTGAAATTGAGATCGATGCCCGTCTTGATCCTCGGTTGCATCCTCGACGACGCCGCGATACCAGAATTTCCGACACGCGGGCGAAAAATTTACGGTGGGGAAATTCGACTGGAGAGATGGATGGAGAAATTCGTATTCGCAGGTGGAGACAACTACCTATATCTCTTCGCCGACAAAAGTCTCGTTAATTCGCCAGGGAATTCGCGAGGGTCGCGTGTTGAAGATGAATTATTCATCCGTCCTTCGAGGCTGCTTCCGTTTCTTAGACGTTTCCTCTGCTCTGCCTCGAAGCTCGATTTCCCACCCGAGAACTCGACTAGACTCGAAACTATCGGTGGAATATTCCCATCTCGACGTGTTTCTGCACCCTCTTAGAGAGGTTATAAAATTATAAAACGAACCTTGAAGACAGTCGATCGTTTCTGGGATTTAATCGGCGTGCTTGTAGAAATTTGCACAACGTATGTACGTGGAAAAATCTGTAAAATATCTAAATCAGAGGTGACTAACTGGCGAGGCCCTTGCCCCCACTCTCCTAATCGCTAGCGCTATCCCCTCCACCGCATGATGAGTGTTGCAGCCACAATACTCGCGTTAGATATATGTGTATACATACGAATCGTTTTTTTTTTTTTTTTTTTTAACAGTTGAAGGAAGATGGGGAAGGTTGAAGTTGAAAGTAAATTAATTATTTAATTATTAACAAATAATTCGAAAATATCTGGCCACTGAGCGTGGTTAGCAACGAAACTATACTCAACTATACTGTATCATCACCGTG